GGAGCTGGGAGAGGCTCCCTCCACAGCCGCTGCACTGGCCAGTTGTGAGCCTGGCTTCTGGCTGAGCGGAGTTCCCCTTGTGGGAGCGGCCTGATCACCCCTACCGTGCCCCACTGCTTGCCTGATTGCCCCTAACCTCTGCCTGCCTGCCTGATTGCCCCTAACTGCCCTCCCCTGCCAGCCTGATCTTACTCCCAACTACCCTCCTCTGCAGGCCTGATCTCACCTCCAACAGCCCTCCCCTGCCAGCCTCATTCCCCCTAACTACCTCTGCCTCGGCCCCCACCACCATGGCTTTGTCCAGAAGGAAGTCGGATGTCTGGAAGATGGCTGGTTGACCCAGTCTAATTAGCATATTACCCTTTTATTAGTATAGTTTTGCTCCTTTGCTTAGTAGCATAACTGCCCAGCTAGGAATTCTGGGCAGTTGACATATAGTTGACATTTTCAAAGAAAGCAGTACCCTAGAGAATACTTTGTAAAATATTGATCCTTATAAAATTTGTCAAAGACATTGTCCATTGTTTGCTTTCTTACGTTGCTCATGTGAGTTTTCTTCTTTGTTTTGTAATTTGGTACTAGGGCAAACCTTTCTCTCTCCTATAGAATTAGTTTTCTTCTTTCTTCCTGATTCCAAGAAGGGCAATCTTTCCTCTTTTACCCTTATCAGAAAGGTTGCAACTAAAATTGATGCTCAGTTCAACCAATATAATATTTGTTATGGTTAATAGATTTGTAGCCTTCTCTTTTCTTTAGTCCTGATTTTTTTATTCATATTTTATTCATCTTATTATATGTATTCCTTTGTCATAGGCATCTCAAATCCTTTTGAGAAAGAGGTGAAATATTAAAAACATAAACATAAATGAGAATATAATTTATAATTTAATATAAGTTTTATTACTTTATGCAAATGTAATATAATAGAAGTAAATATAAATATATAGCAAGTACTATTCTTTTTTCCAGTAATTGAGACACCAATAAGATGGAATAAATAAGGTACACCTCAATGAGTATTTGTATTTCATACAACTTTTAATGCATGAACAATATTGTAAGTTGATAACACCTGCACTTCTTTGACAAGTGGATATTAAGTTGTATGATAAATATATGTGTTAGTTTTCTGAGTACAGTTTTTAAACATTAGTTTATGCTATATTCCTTTTTTTTCTTTCCAGAGATGAAGACAATCCCTACGCAACCTCACTCTATCATAGTTAGATGAACAGGGGCCGTAATTGCACCTGGATTAAGAGAGAGTTGGATCATAAGGAAACCACCAACTGAAGATTCAAATGCACCTCTCTTGGGTTCTCAGAGTGTACATCTTTAACTCACAATTAAGTAGTTCCACTGCAGTTGCACTGAAGTGATTGGTTCCCTCCGGCTTTCTATAATTTTATGTCTGCATTATGGCATGATAACAAAAGCTCATCACTTTTGTAGGTGCTGGTAGTTTTTAAACTTGCTTTTGTAAATACTAGTTGACATAAAGCATCAAAGACTACTTACATAGTCAAGCTAAAACAATGTTTATCTCTTGAGAATTCCTAATTATGTGAAAAACATGGTTGCTGTTTGAGTGGTGCGGGCTTTGCTATGTATTTATAATTAAGTGCTATATATATATATATTTGGATATGTATTACATATTCTGTATTAATATAGAGAACCAAATTTTGTCTGCTATTTTGTAAAAGTGAGCTACTAAGGTCTGAAAAAAATAAACTATGTTTTTACATTTGAGTCTCCAATTTTTTTAACAAATGAGAAAATTTTTATTTTAAGTTATATATTTGAAATAGTGACAGCTTTTCCTCTACTTTTATGTTTTTTTTAAAATTATTTTAATTGCAATTTTGAAGAGTTTTAGTAATCTAAAAGCAAATCAATTGCAGTTACTAGTAACCTTTGCACTCATAATATTTGACTTGATATGTTTCACATATAGTGAGAACATGGAATATGGTCAATAGAAGAAAAAAGCAGTACTATGAGCTGACACATTGATGACTTTTAGTTTAGATTTCATTGATTAGTGACTTTACAGTGTTTTGTAGTCACTGTGCTCATTTGAATGAAGGGTTCTGTTTTTATTCACATAATTTCAATTGTCTTACTTTTATTATATGTATAGATTACAGCAGGAAACCTTAAACAATACGTTCTTTACAGTTAAATGTTTTTGTCTCAATTTCTATTCAAATGCTGGATTAAATAAATCTTTAAGCTTTCAAAAAATTCCTCATATTTATTCCTTCCCAACATCCCCAAAGGGGTCTGCTTTTTGAGGGACAAAAAACCCTTTATTTCTTTTCTTTCTCTCTTTCTTTTTCCTTTCTTCTCCATCTTGATCTTCTAGATCTTCCTTCCATTAAGCACGAAACTGTGCCCTTAGGTGCCAATGCTTCAGAGTTCACTGAACTGGAGTTGCACGTGTCCAACCCTTGAGGCACGAATGGGAAGCAGTAGCTATTTGTCCTTGTCTTGAGTTTCTTGTTTGTTCACAATGTACATAATCCCTTGTGTGTTTATTTTATATATATATATATATATATATATATATATATATATATATATATATATATATTTTTTTTTTTTTTTTGAGAGAGAGAGAAGGGAGAGATAGAAACATTCATGAGAGAGAAATATTGATCAGCTGCCTCCTGCATGCCCCCCCCCCCCCGACATACACATGGGGTCTGAGCCTGCAGCCTGGGCATATGCCCTGACTGGGAGTTGAACTGTTGGTGTTTGGGATGATGCTCAACCAACTGAGCCACACCTGCCAGGTATATTTTGTTTTTTTTAAATTTCATTTTTTAAATGATAACATCTTGTGTGTGTGTTTTTCCCCCCTCTCGTTATTATCCTATATAATAAAGAGGTAAAATGCAAATTAACTCTCAAGCTGTAATGCCTTCACAAGATGGCATGTACAGCAGGGCTGGGCCGGCTGATTCTCGAGCCTGCCACTGAAGTTCCCTCAGCCCCACCGGGGATGGTTCCCTGCTGCTGTTATGTGTGGCTTCTCCGGAGTTCCCTCAGCCCTGCTGGCCTGGACTGGCATTGATTCAACTTGCCTGCATGTAGAATCACTGTGGAAGAATGGACTGAGATAAGAAACCTGGGTTCTAGGTTCAGCTTTACCACATCTTGGCCATATGAGTTTCAGCATATCTTGTGCCCATGTTTATGTTTTGCAAAACAATTTTCTTACATATAAAACAGGACTGATGATCTCCCTTTTGTCTTGGGTATCAATAGGAGCTAATGAATGTCTGTGGGCTCAGAAAGTTACAATAAACTCACGAATTTCTTATTTTTAAAAACTAGAGGCCTGGTGCACAAAATTCATGCACAGGGGCGGCAGGAAGGGGTGTCCCTCAGCCCAACCTGCATTCTCTCCAATCTGGACTACTGGCTCCCAACTGCTTGCTTGCCTTCCTTCCTGATTGTCCCTAACCGCTTCTGCCTGCCAGCCTGATCACCCCCTAACCACTCCCCTGCCAGACTGATTAAAATTATAGAAAAGCAAATAGGTAAAATGCTTTCATCACAGCAAGTTTTTTCTCTCTGATGTAGAGGCAGCTCATTTGGACTACAGGACATGGGTGAAGTAGAGTCAGTCACGTTATCAAGGATGACATTAAGACAAGTCTGATTCATCATGCTTTGGCAAGTGTAGTTTGGGCAAAGGTGTTTTTAGTTTCACCACCTACCAATGAGTATTGGCTTCTCTACAATAGATTAAAAGTTTAGGTTTTTTTTGCATACCAGGCTTTGGTTTTGTTTATTTTTGCAACACGAGAGAGGATGGGAGGAGCAGTAGGGGACTCCTACCCTGAAAACAGCCTCTTCCATTTTCCCTGTGAGTTCCCAGTCCTCATCAAAGAGTAGATGCCAAGTAGGGGCATTTAAGACCGGTATCAGACGGCCTTTTAAAGTAGTGATCGCTAATACACAAAGGATTATGTGATTTTGATTTTTCAACTGAAATATACAGAAAAATATGTAATTTATACCGCATAACCCATTTTCAAAGCAGCCTTTGGTTTGGGAACATTCCCCAGTAACATTTCAGGTGGACCCTGGGCGAGTTGTGGTGGCGGCTGAGGAAGAGGATTTGCAGGGACCAGAGATTCGGAATCGTTCCCCTCCATTGGACCTCAGCTCACTAGCTTTGCTTCACAGGGAAGGAAGGGAATGATTTTTATCTCTATTTCCACCCCACTGTCTGGCCCTCTTGCTCTCTGCTGAGTCCAGTTTAGAAAACTCAGAGCTGGCATACATTTTTATCTCACTTTATGTAGTGTTTATGACTTCATTTTCTGCCTCGAGAGTACATAGTTATCTCTTTTTAAAAACAATTTTTTTTTATTGATTGCAGAGAGGAAGGGAATTGGAGAGATAGAAATATCAATGATGAGAATCATTAATTGGCTGCGTCCTGCACACCCCCTACTAAGGATTGAGCTCTTGACTGGAATTGAACCTGGGACCTTTCAGTCTGCAGTCCAATTCTCTATCCACTGAGCCAAGCCAGTTATAGCTATAGTTATTCTTCATAATAAACAAAACCAATATCTTAAAACTCACTAATAGAAAATATTAAGAGTCAGGGGAAATTCTTAATGAATCCAGAAAATCCTATGCCCATTTTTCAGGTTCCTTTGTGCTATTCAGCCTGATACAGAACTAGCAGGAAGAGCCGAAGAAAATAAAAAAGGCATCCTGGCCAGTGAGCTCAGAAGTTGAATGTTGACCAATGCACTAGGAGGATGCCAGTTCGATTCCTAGTCAGGGCACATGCCTTGGTTTTGGGCTTGATCCCCAGTAGAGGGCATGCAGGAGGCAGCTGATCAATGTTGATGTTTCTATCTCTCCCTTTTCCTCCCTCCCTCTTTCAAATCAATAAAAATATATTTAAAATAAGAGAAAGTTACCTATTAAGAAAAAGAAAAGAAAGGAAAAAAGCCGGTAGCTTCCTTTACGCTTTAGAGGCTTTGAAGAAATGTAAGTTTATTTCAACCAAAAGGGAACTGGGAGTGAGAAGAACATGTAACAGATATGCTATGAGGTGCTTTGGTAACCAGCATGCCTTGAAAACAGAACCCCCACTTCCTCAGGGGCTGCTCATATGTGTGACACAGAAGGAAAAAGGTTCAGTTCTAAGGTCAGTCCATCACAGGCTTTTCCAAAGCAACCCATCTCTGATTATAAAATGTAAATTTACAAGGAAGTAAGGATTCTATGTACAAAATCTCAGCTCACACTGTTACTTTTCAGATAGTTTTTATGGCAAGAAAGCTATGTCTTAACCACTTCTAAAAGGTTATCTACTATAAATCCAGCACTTCCTTACACTCCTTGGGTCAAAATAACTTCAATCACAGAATTAGGAGAGTTTTAAGCTATATTATATCTTCTGAAACAGTGGAAAGACTCCTGGACCACTTTGCCATTTTTACAGGCTGCTGTAAATACGCCTAATGGCATCGGCCTCTTCTTTATCAAGGATGCCTTTCTCCACATAAGCTTCCGTTTGTTGGTTGATGAAGTCCTTCATCTTCGAAAGGTCATAATCTGGAAAATATCACGAGGGCATCATGAGAAAGATCAGGAAAGAGCAATCCCATTACAGTGATCACCATTAACCAAGAAGCGTTTTCTATACCACCTCCACAACCATCCCTGTCTTTCACATCAGAAGGCATTTTAGGTCTTGGCATTTGTGCAGAGTTTTGCAGTTTAAAACCATGTGTATGTGTGTGATATTAATAGGTCATCTGCTCTCCAGCATCACACCTACTAGGTGTTCAGGTCGGGAGTACCACCCTCATCTGACCATGGAGGGAACAGGCTTGGAGACCAGGGCTTCACACCTTGACTGTTTGTACCAATCACCTGAGGCTCCTGGGAAGTTGCAGATTTGCATTCAGTTGCTACAAGGGGGGGCCCCAGAGTCTGGTTTTTTTCTTTTTTTTCTTTTTAAATTTAATTTAAAAAAATTTTCAATTACAGTTGACGTTCAATATTGAATTAGTTTCAGATGTATAGCATAGTGTTAGGCATTAATATAGCCTATAAGGTGATCACCCCTGATAAGTCTAGTACCCACTTGGCGCCATATATAGTTATTACAATGTTATTGACTAGTATATTCCCTAAGCCGTACATCCCCATGACTATTGTGAAACTACCAATTCGTATTTTTTAATTCCCTTATCTTTATCATCCAGCCACCTAACACCCTTCCATCTGGCAACCATCCATTTGTTCTGTGTATCTCCAAGTTCATTTATTTTGATTGCTCTTTTTTCTGTGTTTTTTTGTGTGTGAAATAATATGGTATTTGTCTTTCACTTTCTGATCTACTTCACATAACATATAACATATAATATAATAACCTCTAGGTCCATCCATTTTGGTGCAAATGGTAAGATTTCATTCTTTTTTTGGGGGGCTGAGTAATATTTCTTTATATATATGTATATATGTGTACCACATTTTATCCAATTGTCTATTGATGGACACTTAGGTTGTTTTAATTTTTTGGCTATTGTATAAGAAATGTCCTTCTTTGTTTCTTAATATAGCCTTTGTTTTAAAATCTATTCTGTCAGATAGTCTGAGATAAGTATCCCTACCCAGCCTTTTTTTTATTTTTTATTTCTATTTGCATCAAATATCTTTTTCCATCCCTTTACTTTCAGTCTCTGTGTCTTTCAAATCTGAAGAGAGTCACTTGTAGGCAGCATATGTAAGGGTCTTGTTTTCTTCATTCAGCCACCCTATGTCTTTTGATTGGAGCATTTAATTCATTTACATTTTAAGTAATTAATGATAGGTGTGGAGTTATGACATTTTACTATTCACATTTTTATCTTTTTTCTTCTTCGTAAGCAAGTCCCTTTAACGTTTCTTGAAATGCTGATTTGGAGACGACAACCTCCTTTATGTAACTTATGAAGTGATCACCTCCAGCTCTTTCTGTCCGGGAGCAGATTCTGCATTTTGAATAAGCCGCCAGGATATGCCGATTCTGCTAGTTTAGGACTCACACTTTGGGTAAGAAGATCCTCAAGCTTGAGTTCAAGATCATACAGCTAGTAAAAGTTATGATAAGAACCAGCTGTTTTGACTTTTTGAACTTGTTACACTGATTAGTTCCTGTTGAGGTAACAACCCACTTTCACATTTTTAAAATATATTTTATTGATTTTACACAGAGAGGAATTGAGAGGGATAGAGAGTTAGAAACATCGATGAGAGAGAAACATCGACCAGCTGCCTCTTGCACACCCCTCACTGGGGATGTGCCCGCAACCAAGGTACATACCCTTGCCTGGAATCGAACCCAGGACCTTTCAGTCTGCAGGCCAACGCTATCCACTGAGCCAAACTGGTTTTGGCCACTTTCCCATTTTTATTGCAAATTAAGAATTACCTTGATTTTCACACTGTTTGAATTGTATGCATGGAGCAAAAAGCCAAGCCATAACCTCTTTATGCTTTCTCTGTGCTACTTATATAAACAAAAACCTATATACACCATCAAGGCACCAAAAACAGATTCCCAAGCAAGGAGGCTGCCTGTGGCACCTTTCTGGAGGCTTAAAAAGAAAATCACATCTTCCCTTGATTCTTTATTTTTTATTTTTTGTAAATTATATATATATATATATATATATATATATATATATATATATATATATATATATATTTTTTTTTTTTTTTGAATTTTTTTTTTTTTACTTTAACATTGTCCCCCCCACCCTCCCATACATACCCTCCCTCCCCAGAGTTTTGTGTCCATTGGTTTTGCTTATATGCATGTATACAAGTCCTTCGGTTGATCTCTTATCTCCCCTAGATCTCCCTACTCTCCCCGCTGTAATTTTACAGTCTGCTTATTGTTTTACTGTCTTTATATCTATCTTTTGGTTTGTCAGTTTATAATGTTTTTTAATATCCATAAATGAGTGAGGCCATGTGGTATTTCTCTTTCATTGACTGGCTTATTTCACTCAGCATGATGTTCTCTAGTTCTATCCAGGTTGCTGCAAATGATGAGAATTCCTTCTTTTTTATGGCAGCATAGTATTCCATTGTGTAGATGTACCATAGTTTTTGGATCCAATCATCTGCTGACGGGCACCTCGGCTGTTTCCAGATTCTAGCTATTGTAGATTGTGCTGCTATGAACATAGGGGTGCATATATCCTTTCTGATTGGTGTTTCTATTGTAGTTTCTTGGGATATATTCCTAGGAGTGGGATTACTGGGTCAAATGGGAGTCCCATTTTCAGTTTTTTGAGGAAACTCCACACTGTTCTCCACAGTGGTTGCACCAGTCTGCATTCCCACCAGCAGTGCACGAGGGTTCCTTTTTCTCCACAACCTCGCCAACACTTGTCGTTTGTTGATGTTGGCCATTCTGACAGGTGTGAGATGGTACCGCATTGTTGTTTTGATTTGCATCTCTCGGATGATTAGTGACTTTGAGCATGTTTTCATGTGCCTTTTGGCCTTCCTTCTGTCTTCTTTTGAAAATATTCTATTTAGGTCCATTGCCCATTTTCTAATTGGATCATTCATCTTTCTTTTATTTAGTTGAATAAGCTGTTTGTAGATGTTGGAGATTAAACCTTTATCAGTGGTAACATTTGCAAATATGTTCTCCCACATAGTGGGCTTTCTTGTTGTTTTGTTGATGGTTTTTTTTTTTTTTTTTTTTTTTTTTTGCTGTAAAAAAGCTTTTTATTTTGATGTAGTCCCATTTGTTTATTTTCTCTTTAGCTTCCATTGCCCTAGGGGCAGTATCAGTGAAGAAGTTCTTTTGGCATATGTCTGAGATTTTGTTGCCTGTGGATGCTTCTAGTATTTTTATGGTTTCCCGTCTGATGTTTAAGTCCTGTATCCATTTTGAGTTTATTTTTGTGTATGGTGTAAGTTGATGATTTAGTTTCATTCTTTTGCATGTATCTGTCCAATTTTCCCAACACCATTTATTGAAGAGACTGTCTTGACTCCATTGTTCCCTTGATTCTTTAAACATAATATGCTTATTTAAAGAAAAAAAGGATAAAATCATGAAAATAAAATTGAAATGACTTGAATTCTATCATAGCTAACCACAGTTGATATTTTGTTTTATTTCCTTTTAGCTTTTCAAATATATCTATCTCAACCCAGAATTGAGATCACAGTATACATACAAACTTATAACTCTCTCCTCTCACTAACTTTATACAGTGAGCATTAATATTCTTTAGAAGCACCATTGTTAATGGTTAGATGCAATACATCCTATGGAGGTGCCAACATTTATGACACACATCCCTCATGGCGGGGCATGGCGGTCTTCCATGCCACACGGTACTTGGGAGACCCTCCGGATTGTGAGTTGCTTGAGGCTGTTCCTTGAGGACAGTGCCATTCATCATGGCAGCTGGCAGCCTCTGGACCAGAGCCCTGCCTTCTTCCAATTTGTAAAGAGAAGAGAAAGGAGAGAATGGGGTATAAAACTCACAGCCCCTTTAGCTAGCTTGGGTCCTTTGGGCATCTTTAAGACCTTGCATGAGGGGGAAAAAAATCCCCTGAGAAACAAAAACAAAAAAACAAAAACAAAAAACAAAACCACACACACACACAAACAAAACAAAACAAAACAAAAAACCCTAAAAAACTAAGCCTGAAAGACCTCTCTACAAGCACCAGGTGTTGATCATATCGAGATGAGCAGAGGCTTAGAGAGAGCTTGTTTCCACCGAGGAGGACATTTGGTCCCCACTAGGGCACAGCCTTGAGGGTTAAAGAGAGAACTCTGGGCATTGAGCTCTTTACAACTGTCATTTGATCTGCTCCTCACGAAACTCCATGAAGTCAGCATTAGTATTTCCATTTCAGAGGCAGACAAACAGGACTGAGGAGGTAAGTCACCTGCTCCTGCCCTGGAAGAGTCAGGTTCTGAACCAGATCAGTCTTTAGGCACAGCTTTGACCACTCTGCGGTCTTTAATCCTGAAGGTCAAGCATCTAATTGGTGCAGAACAAACGTTCAGTACGTACTTGGGTTTTTTGTTGTTGTTGTTTGACTTCTCTTTTCTCCCAGGCACAGACGAGAGAACCAAGCTGACCGTACATTTTGTGTGCACCGCGCCTCACTGGCTGGTTCCCAGCCCACTCACTGGTTCACATGAATACGCTTCAGACTTGGTTGTAAGATCAACCTCTTCAGTGAGACAAAAGGCAGGCTCCCAAGGACAGACGCGAAGAGGTCCAGGCGATTTGAATGGGCAAACGGGAAACTATTGTGCCGGTGGTGAAGTGGAAGAACTGTATCTTCAGGACTATCACCCTGTGCAGGGAAAGCCCGTCTGGTGTGGAGGAAAGGCCAGCAGCTGGCTGTGCCAGTACACAGCCAGTGCCCACCGCGCTCCTCTTAAAAGAGGATGTAAGGGTGTTATGCACAAAAGAGAAAGTGCTGTGATTTACAAAGCACACTTAAAAAAAAAAAAAAAAAAAAAAAGGCTGCATTCGCTTTTATCATCATCCCCACAGTCACATCACATGGGCCTTTCTCTCCTGGATTTGGGAAGGAGATTCAGGACCCCCAGGCCCCTGCCAAACAAAGGGCATGAGCAGAAGTTAAGGAAATCAGAGCTAATAGTGTAGCAAGACTCCCTCTCACACAGCTGCAGCCCTTTCATGGCCCAGGACCAGATCCCCGCAGGCTCTGAGAGAATTCAGAGTCTAGCTGAGCATACCTGAAGCAGAGGAGAAAAAGCTCCCTGCTTCTGCCTGCAGGAGGGTGTATTGCATGTCACCTCCCCTCCTGCAGGCAGAAGGAATGTCAAACTCCACCCTGTCGATCTGAGTTTGCCGGCAGAGCCTTCCATATGCAAGCACCAGAGTTCCATGCTTTACTAGGCTGGCTATTTCTTGAAGTGAAAGACTGAATTGCAGGATGTTGCTGGGCATGACCAGGAGTTTGATTCATATGTTCATCAGTGAAAGAATCACATAAATAGTCCAAATTGTTGGAGCATGTAATTTACATTGGTTTCGGAATGCACTTTGGCCCCTCCGGTATTAACACTGATTCTAAGAGAAACATTTTTATTTTCAAGTCTTCGCAGTCACGGGTAGCATACTACACTTTTTCTTCCTTAGTGGTGCATTACACAATGGTGCATTTCCCAAATCAATGGCAGATTTGATGAATTACAGTCCATGTGAATTTTAATGGAACGGACAGCCTGGAAATTGGCATTATGTTGAGCCAAATAAAATGAAAATGTGTGAAGACCTGATAACTGTTTCCATCTTGCTCAACTTGCGATACCACAGGCTAACAAGGGGCTGAAAACATGTCTTCCTCCTGCTGTGCTCTAAATCAGCAGTTCAGCTTGGCTGCATGGTGGAAAGAAGGGGGTGAGTGGAGGGGGGGGAGGAAATTAAAAAATATTGATGCCTTGTCCTGCCCTTCAAATTTTTTATTTACTGGTGTTCCCTGGGCACCAGCGTATGTAGAGGCTCTGCATGTGTTTTGAATGCACTGTAAGGTTTGAGACAACCACTCGTCTCATTTTAAAAGCATCACTTTGCGACTGCTCTGTCTAGACACCTGGAAATCATATGGCCTCCTGTCTCTTGACATGGCTCTCAGGTTTCTCCCTTCTTTATTCTCCCTTCTTTATTCCCTCTGCCCTGCCCTGGTTTAAGCCCCATCATTTCTGCTCTTGATCCTTGCATCCTATCTCTCTCTCCAGTATTTTTTTTTTCTTCTTCAATCTGTAACCACATAACATGCCAGATAGATTTCTCAGTTCTTAACTGAGTTCTCAGGGCTTAAGTAAGCCCTAACTTAGGTTCCCCTGGCTAACAAATTCTTTATAGGTGGCCAAGCATGCTCCTGACCTGCCCACGCTCCCAGCCCTGTCTGCTAGTCTGCCCCATAGACACCCAGCATTCCTGGAAAACTGAATAGCTCCAGCTCCCAGAATGCATCACTCTCTTTTGTCCCTTTATGTCTTGGCCCCCAGTGTTCCCTCTGTCTCCATCTCTCCTCACTTACCTTTCCAGTGAAGCCTTTTTCTTTTTCTTTCTTTCTTTTTTTTAAATATATTTTTTATTAATTACAGAGAGTAAGGGAAAGATAGAAACATCAATGATGAAAATCATTGATCAGCTGCCTCCTGCACACCCCCTATTGGCGATTGAGCCCACAATCTGAGCATGTGCCCTTGACCGGAATCGAACCCAGGATCCTTCAGTCCACAGGCTGACATTCAATCCACTGAGTCAAACTGGCGAGGGCTCCAGTGAAATCTTTTTCACGGCCCTTCTTCCCAGTGATCTCTGCCACTGTGCTCCTTTCTCCCCTCCTTTGCACCACCACGCGTGTCTGTGATGGCAACCACAGGGCCAGCTGTGCTTCACTGATGCTGTGAGCGACTTGGGGGCGAGGGTGCTGCATGTTCTGTGCTTCACTTTTCTGGCACTCAGAACAGAGCCCAGTTAGTGTTTCAAGTGAGTCAGTGGCTGCTTTCGTGACTGCCGAGTGCACCTAACATGTGCTCAGAAAACACCTCTGTTTAAAATTATCCAAGAAAGGAGGGGGAGTAGACAAAACAAGATTGGCTAAGTGGGTGATAGACACATGGAGACTCATTATATTATTCTCTCTAATTTTGTTTGACTTTTTTTTTTTAATATATTTTATTGATTTTTGTACAGAGAGGAAGGGAGAGAGATAGAGAGTCAGAAACATCGATGAGAGAGAGTCATCGATCAGCTGCCTCTTGCACACCCCCTACTGGGGATATGCCCGCAACCAAGGTACATGCCGTTGACCGGAATCGAACCCGGGACCCTTCAGTCCCCAAGCCGACGCTCTATCCATTGAGCCAAACCGGTCTCGGCAAATTTTGTTTGACTTTTTAAAAAATTGATTTTTTTACAGAGAGGAAGGGAGAGGGATAGAGAATTAGAAACATCAATGAGAGAGAAACATCGATCAGCTGCCTCCTGCACACTTCTTACTGGTTATGTGCCCACAACCAAGGTACATGCCCTTGACCAGAATCGAACCTGGGGCCCTTGAGTCCACAGGTCGATGATCTATCAACTGACCCAAACTAGTTAGGGCTGTTTGACTTTTTTCTGTTTTGTTTTTTCATCATAAAATAAAGGGAAAAAACGCCTTTGTTTGAAAGGCTGGTCTGAAAAGTAAGAGAAATGGCGGTTCTCTCTGCATCCGAGAAGTGCTAGAATCTCTCTGGGCTCTGAAAGGACACTTCAGCCTAATTTGATTGTGGGAATGTTTATTTAACAACAGCCCCTGGCAAATGGGTGAGGTTTGCAGTTTATAACCACACTAAAAGCCTTACCTTCTTTATTTCCTTTTGTGTTGTGTTTCTTCAGCCATTCAATATTTTTTCTGATGGCTTCCAAATAGGCTTCTGTTTTCCCTGAAAAGGCAAGAGAATCAAATCAAACACTCATACAATACCATTGCATCTCTTTTTAAAGACCACATTATGTGTAAAACCATAGACAAAATATTGGAATTATCGAGCATTTGTGCGGTGGTACACCTAATGAGGTAGTGTGTGTGTGTGTGTGTGTGTGTGTGTTGGGGGGGAGAGGGGAGGATGTCAAGGAGAGTGGGCGGGGATAAGATTCTAGGAGGCAGAACCAAGTGGTAAGTGTCAAGAAGCCATTCTCCGCCTACACAAATTTCTATAGTTTGATGTTCTGGGAAACTTTTGATTCAATTCACTGGATAGGTGGGTCCCTGTAATTCTTAGATTGAGTTGTTTATGGTTACCAATGGTTCTTCTAAACCTAGGAGCCTTGTCAGGTCAAGACCTGAGTCAGAGTGGCAGATATTTAAAAGAATCCTTCACTAAGTGATGTTAAGTAAGCCCACATGTGTGGCTTGTGTAAGCTGTTAAGCAAGCCTTCAGCTCACTTCTGATAGGAAGTATGTAGAAACTCAGATAAAGAGGGCAGTCCAAACCTCATTTCAAGGTTTGGATGGTGAACCTTATCATTTATTCTAGTAAAACTCCCCTGGATGTAAAACTCTCTGATGGGCCTCAGCTGTGGCGGGAGAATACCACACATTACCTGCTGTTTGACAGCATTGCATTTAAGTGACTTGTTGCTTACAAATCAGTATTATCATCAACTTAGAGATGAGGAAACTCAGGCACAGAAAGGCTGAGTGACTTGGCTGAGGACACACAGGAAATAACAGAGCTGGAATTTGGGTTCTGATCTTGCCAAGTTTCTGTTACCTGCACAATTTTGAAAGATTACACCTGTATTCAGACATAAACACCGATGTACCCTTGTTTTGTCTCAAAACAATCATCTCCTTAAGCAATTGAGATCCCTAATGCTCAGAGTGTCTGTACTAAAAGACAGGGGGGTCTGGAGAGTTCTGGGAGGCTAAGAAAAAAAGCTTTCAAAGTGCAGAGCCTCTGCAAAAGTAATGGGATGCCAAGGCTTAGTGTGGTGACCACCTACTCTGAGCCCCTTTGAGCCCAATTACCTCTAGTCTACTGCCCAGACTTTTTGAACTACTTGTACTGAGTGCTTTTTATGTGCCAGGTGCTCTGCATTGTGCACCAAAATGCATTATCTCTTTTATTCTTCACAACAATCCTTTGAGGCACTCCTATTTCATCCCCATTTTACATACAAAGAAACGAAGACACAGACAGATAAAAAGTGATATGTCGAAGATCACATGGCTAGTAAGTAATTGGTCCAGGTTTGAACATGGCTACATCTGACTGCAGACCAATAACACTGCCTTAAGATTTGACAATGTTCTAAGGATCCAAGATGGTGGCGGATCCAGGAACAAACTGGAATTACTCCTCCCAGGCCCAAACTGGAATTACAACTAAAATATAGAGCAATCAACCTGAATAGCCATCTGAAGACTAGCTAAACAGAAGTCTTATAACCAAGGATTTACAGAAGAGGCCACATCGAGACTGGTAGAAAGGCCAGAGACTTGAAAAGAACAGGATGTGGCTGGTCCTACTTGCACAGGACAGTATCTGAGATCTTGGAGGGATATCTGAGCTGCAAAGGTTACCCCTGAGAAATGTTGGGTCTCAATCCCAAAGTGGACTCACTGCCCAGAGCAACAATGCCAGGAAGAGGTGCCCACATAACATCTGACTATGAAAATCAGCAGGGATTCCATCTGCCAAGGAGAGACAAGAGAAGCCCAGGCACCCTTGTAAGGAACCAGCACACCAAGTCTTGTTCACAGCCACGCTCCCTGGGCTCTGGCAGAGGGAGGGCAGAGCAGACTAGAGTCGTGAGAGGAGGGACTGGGGCTCGTGACTCTGGGGAGAGAGCTGGAGGGACAGCCACCAAGATCCTGTGCTAAGTCACTGTCCCACTCCCCAGATGCCCCACTCCTTTCCACATGGCATCAGCCTGGGGGAATGCAAGAGCCCACCTCTGGGCTCCCTGTCTTTGCACCCTGCAGAGCTCACACCCTGCTGAGGAGTCAGTTCAGGGAAGACTCCAGGTGTCAGTGAATGAGTTATGTGGCTTCTGGGTAGGGGTCATTCCCCCTCACACTTTCCTGTGAACCTGATTGGTGACTTCCCCTCATGGGAGATCAGATATACCATTCTCTGGGCTCCTGGAAGCCCCACCTTCACAACTCCTGGTGGCTCACCACTGCCTAGGAATGGGAAGAATCTGGGACAGTCAAAATTGTGTGGCTCTGGGGTTATACATGTACACAATGGAATACTACTCACTGTAAAAAAAAGAAGGAACTATTATCTTTTGCAACAGCTTGGATAGACCTGGGGAGCACTATGCTAAGGGAAATAAGCCAGTCAGAGAGAGATAGGTACCATATGATTTACACTTATATGTGGAATCTAATGAACAAAATGAACTAACAAACCAAATAGAAATAGACTCAGAGATACAGAGAGGGAAGTTGGGGGGCTGAGTGAAAAAGGTAAAGGGATTAAGCAAAACAAAACAAAAGAAACCCAAACAAGTCATAACTGACAACAGTATGGTAATTATCAGAGGGAATGAGAGATGGGAGAGGTAAAACAAGAGGGTAAATGGTGATGGAAGGAAACTTGACTTGGGATGGTGGGCACACAATACAATATGCAGATGATGTATTGTAGAATTGTGTACTTGAAACCTAATAAAATTTTATTAACCCATGTCACCTCAATAAGTTCGATTTTAAAAATCTGACAATGTTTCAAACAGAATAGACTCATAGATATAGAGAACAGACAAATGGTTGACAGAGGGGAAGGGTTTGGGAGACTGGGTGAAAAGGATTGAGAAATACAGATTGAGAGTTACAAATTATGCGTGGGGATGTAAAGTACAATAGGGGAATATAGTCAATAATATTTCAATAACTATCTATAGTGCCAGGCAATTTTAATAACTATCTATGGTGCCAGGTGGGTACTGGAAAATATCAGGGGGAACACTTTGTAAAGTATATGGTTATCTAACGTCATCTGAAACTAATACAAAATAATATTGAATGTCAACTGTAATTGAAAAATATTAAAGAATTTAAAAAGAAAAGAAAAGAAAAATGCAGATGCCCTGTGGGGCATCTATAAAGACCTAATATATATCTGACCTCTGAGTTCTAGGCTATGGAAAATGAAAAACTATAAGGTGATTAACAAAAAGAAAGAAAAAGATTTAACAATATTCCAATTTCCACTATTACATTTATCTAATGACTTCCTGAGATTCTTTAAAAACAAACAAACAAACAAACAAACAAACAAAAAAATATATATATATTATTGGTTTTTTATAGAGAGGAAGGAAAAGGGATAGTTAGAAACATCAATGAGAGAGAAACATCGATCAGCTGCCTCCTGCACATTCCCTACTGGGGATGTGCCTGTAACCAAGGTACATGCCCTTGACCAGAATTGAACCGGGGATCATTCAGTCCTCAGGCCGAAGCTCTATCCACTGAGCCAAACCAGCCAGGGTGACTTCCTGAGATTCTTTCTTCCTTGTCTCATAAGTCCAATCCTACCTCACCACTGGGGCTCCATGTTATCTGGTCCCCAAAGAAACACAGAGAAACTCTTGTTCAAAAAGTGGATATGAGAAGAGATCTGAAAATTTTAGCCCCTATTTGCTTCAGTTGCCTATGTTTAGAGAGCCTTGATTTCAGGGCCTTGTTCTCATGAAAGTTAGAGCTTGTGAAAGACTCATGTCCCCCTTGCTGATATTATTCAATTACAGCACAATGAATATAGAGACTTTCACTGTCCAGTGCTAGTTGACTGTGAAGATCAACTGGATTTGGTAACATAAAAACACTGTTCTCTATTTCAAATTAATTCAGTTAGAAAAGGCATTTTGAACATGGACTATCTGAAATAGGGAATTCAACATTATCTTTTTAGGTTGCTTTTTGCTTAGGAACCAATCCTATATAATAATAAATAGGTAATATGCAAATTGACCATCACTCCAACACACAAGATGGCTGCCCCCTTATGGATACAAGATGACCTGCAGGGGAAGGCAGTTGTGTGTGTGTAGGGGGACCAGGCCATCAGGGGAGGGCAGTTGGGGTGACCAGGCCTTCAGAGGAGGACAGTTAGGGGTGACCAGGCCTGCAGGGGAGGGAAGTTAGGAGTGACCAGGACAGCAGGGGAAGACAGTTAGGGGCAATTGGAATGGCAGGTGAGCAGTTAGACGTCAATCAGGCTGCCAGGGGAGGGTTTAGGGAGTAATCAGGCTGACAGTCTGGGTTGTGAGAGGGCAGTTAGACATCCCTCAAGGCGTCCCAGGTTGGAGAGGGTGCAGGCTGGGCTGAGGGACATACACACACATACACACTCACACACCCGTGCACAGTTTTGTGCACTGGGCCTCTAGTTACCTATATAAAAATGATGGAAAGTAATTTAATTCACTATATTGACATTAACAGAGAGTGAGTTTACTGCAGCTTAAAGAAAACTAGACTGCAATCCATTAAAAAAACACGACTATCTTGTGGATTAAAATAAATATAATTAGGAAGTTTCTCTAATTTAATAGACACCCCCCCGCCACCACCCTTCCTTTTCTGCTTTATTTTTATCCATAGCACATCATTTTCTACCATATCATATAATTTATTTAAGTCTATTTTTTGTCTTCCTTTCTTAGAAATAGTACTTGTTTGCTGATGTACTCCCATGCCTAGAATAAAACCTGACTCTCAGTAAATATTAGTGGAATGGTGAGTGGATAAAGTGAGTGGATAAAAGCTCTTCCGATACCGTAGTAGCCAAATTATAGTCAGAAAATTGCTTGGTGAGCATGAAATAAAAACTAAATAAAATCTAAAAAATATAAATGGTATTTATAGTCTTTTCTTTTTTACAAAAAAATAAACTTTATTTGAAAGACATGAAATTTAATGAATTCT